TCAAGCCCCAATTAAACCCTAATTGGGCGAGGATGACATATGTCGAATCTATCTAATTTTTTTGGTCCCTCTTACAACATGAATTAAAGCAATTGATTAATATTTATATCATAATTTAAAACTTTTTATAAAAATCTCTACAATTTCAAAATATCTAATAAGTTTAAATTATAAAAATAATTTATTTTTTGCAAACTTTTATGCTTATTATTGCTTATAAAAAATTTTGTATTATTTTAATAAAAAATTATTTTAAATATAATTAAAAAAAGATTTTATTTTTTGATAAAACAATATTTTAATTATTCAAAAATATAATCATTTAATAATATAAAAAACTTTTTCTTATTTACTTCTACTTTATTAGAAAACTTCTTTTTTAAAAAATTTTCTTTTTTTTTTCATTTCTTTTCTTTTACTAAAAATAAAATCTTGCAACAAGTTGAAACTGAGATATGTTAAAATTATACAAGGCTCCTCTAACTATCAAATATTATTATTTAAGATCTATATATATACAGTATATAGTATTGGTTATCATATTTAAAAGAAATATTATTGTTTAAAAAAACACAAATTAATTATTTCTTGTATATAACAATAGTCTAAGACAAGAATTAAAAATTTTAAAACAGATCAATCTTTGTAAAACTTTATATATATTTAATAATTATAAATATGAAAATAATTTATTTTATTTTTCTATTTATTTTTCCTTTTTCCAAATTTCTTTCCTATCAATAAACAATTTTTTCTTTTTCTTGAAATTTTTTTTTTAGATTTTTTTATTATTTTATTTATTTTACTTTATTAATTTTCTAGTTTATTATTTTACTATCTTAATCAAACTATTAATTTTACTATTTTAACTAAGCTATCAACTTTACTATTTTAACCAAGCTATCAACTTTACTATCTTAATCAAGCTATCAACTTTATTATATTAATCAAATTATTAATTTTACTTAAGTTGAAATCTTATTTGCTCAAAAAGTATAAGCTTTTTTTTAAGATTTTTTTTCTTGTTTTAAAAAACATAATACAGAAAAAATTAACTTAATATTACTTTAATTAAAAAATTAAAATTGTGAAAAAATAATTGATCTCATTACTCTAAAAGTTTTAGACATATCTTTTTATAATTAATAATTATATATCAAGTTAGTCAAATATAAAAAGAGATTATTAAAGAAAAAAATTTAATTGACAATATTAATTATATAAAGTTTTGTTTTGCTAAAAGTTTAAATTGCTAACTAGTATATCAGAAGCATATAATTATAAGTAATTATATCTTAAATATTTAATAATATTACTATTTTAATCTATTATTTAGAAAGAATAATTACAGAACTGTTTTTTTGTTTTGTTTAGCTTCCAAATTTTATAAAATAAAAAATTATTAATAACTATTCTTATTAAAAAATCAGTATAAGTTAATTATATTATATTAGTATTTGGATTACTAATATAAACAAGATTATTAATCCTTAATCATATTCTCATTAGTTATATGATTATATAGGTCTAAGTTATAATTCAAAATCGAAGTATTGTATTACTTTTTACTATTACTTCTTATAAAATATATATATACAGTTAATAATATAATTAGTAACTAATTATTGTTTATATTTTTTTCTTTTTTTCTTATTAGAGCTCTCAAAGATTTACATATATTATCTTTATTTGCAATAAGTTACAATTAATTTACTTATTTTATATATTAAAAATTATTGATATAATAATAATTAAATAAAATTAAATAAAGATCTTATATTTAATATTTATTTGTAATAATAATAATAATAATATAAAATCAGTTAAAAGAATATTTAAAAATTTTATATATAAATTAAAATATAAATTAAAAATTATTGAGTTATTTGAAAATAATTTTTATTTTCAGTATAATAATAATTCAAAACATATAAACAAATTGCTAAAACATTTATTAATAAAAATTTTTGAAAAAAAATATAAAATTAAAATTATCTAAAATATTTTAAAATTAGAACAGTTTATAATAAAAAAATATTAAAAAGTTTTATTACATATTGTATATATTGATAATTTATTTTTTTTAAGTTAATTAATAATATTTAATAATTTACATTATAAAGATATACAAGTATATTAAAATTATTTATATTAATTAATTTATAGAATTTATTAATAAAGAATTATTAAATTATAATAATAATTAAATGATAATTTATTAAAGAATCAAAAGGAAATAAAAATTAGATAAGATAATTATAAAGTTATAAAAAGTTTTATAGTTATATATTGTTTAAAGAATAAATAACTATTCTTGTATATAGTATAACTGGTGATTTCTTATAGAAAGATATTTAATTTAATCAAAATAAATATATTTTTTTTATCTTTTTTTAATAAAATAAATATTAATATTTTTATATTTTATAGAAAACTTTAAAAACAATATAAAACCATTATAAAAAATAAGAAAATTTTTGTTTCTTTCTAATGCTATTAGATAATATAACATTAATTATATCTTTATTATTTTATCTTTAGCATCAGTTTCAGATCGATTTTCTTTTTTGAAATTTCAGCTGACCATTGGCTATGTGACCTGAATCACATTACTATCATTTTACTTTTTTTCTTACAATAGTTTGAAATTGTGTGATCATTCTTTGCTTATACTGTATATCAAAGACACTAATTGAGTTTTGAGATATTTCATCCTGAAGATTGGTTGTCCTTCCTATTGTTAGTAATTAAGAAATATAATGGTAAGTTCTTTTGCAGTTCTTTTATTCTTTTATTAATGGAATTTTAAAATAGATCCAAAATTATCTTATTGTCATCGTGTGACAATTTTTAGCCTAGAGAACAATAGAAATACGTAAATGGAACAATTAAACGACCCTAACAGTTTCTGTTTTGTAAATAGTGAAAAATTTAGCGCAAATATGGAAACGGAACATGTTAATTTACTTCGAAAATATGTTATATAGCAAAGAGCGAAGCTAGTTTAGGAAATAATATGACACAGGGACTCGCATTAAATGGCAAAGGATCCGCGTACTCCCTCCCTTGAAAGCATGTCATACAGTATTTCGATTATTTCGTCCAATTTGTGCATTGAAAAAATCAAAATCCAAATTGCTATATTTACATCAAAAGAATAACAAATTTGTCTTAGCAGTAGCAATAAGTAGATCCAATCGATTATAATTACATCTTCCTTTTCGATTTCTACTATCATGGATTCTATGATTACTTGTTCGTTCGATTGGAAGATGTCCCTTCTTGGGGGGTGAGATCAATTAGGTTAACGAATATGTCGGTGTTTTCCCGAATGTAGGATTCTACCGATTGGGACTGAAATGTAACAACATTATTTTCCGGATGATATGCAAATACGTTGTTTTCTAGTACTTCATTTGCTTCTTTATAATTATTGAAATATTCCATAAATGTTGTAAATTTAAGCTCTTTGTTTTTAGATTCTAATAAAGCATGGATGACGCGTTTTCCTATTTCATGATGATATTGCTTTCGGAGAAGTTGTGCAGTGTTGAATTTCTTCTCGATTTCATTTAGAATCGAATTTTTAATGTCTACAGAAAAAAAAGTCAAAGCAATGAATTCTAAGCAGAGTTTCGTAAACTTGATTGTTTTACCTTCAAGAGATTTTCCATCTATAAATTTGTCTGCCACAATCTTTAGATCCATAATTCGCCCACCAACTAATTTATAAAATTTTTTTGCATCTTCTTTGATATTGCGCTTATTTATCAGATAATCTTTTGATTCCTTTTCACTGAGATCGCCAATTTCCATCACTGGTTTGTATGCACGTGACCAAGAACAACTGCATTAATAAGACATGCTATTTTTTCGGGAATATAAAAAAAATTTGTCGAATACTTACATTCCATTCTTCTCGGGACACCTCCTTCACTGCTGACAAACACGGCGATGTATTTTCTGTCGTCGGCGTTATCCTTTGCGTCGTCCTGAAGAACATCAAGAATTCTTGGATGGTCTGCAATTAATCGGCTAACATTATCGTAAATGATAACTGGTGGTTTTCCATTCTTTGCTTTGTACACTTCAGCCTCACGCTTAAAAGCATCTAAAGCTCTCTCCCATTTACTTAATATGTCTACAAAATGAAAATCGAAATCAAAGAAAGGTCTAGTTTTAATAATAAAGTATCAATAATAATTTTACCTTCAGTTTTACTAAACATTTTCCGAATCAGTTGTATTGTGTAAGAGATATGTTCTTCAAATGTGAAGTTAAGGGCCTTTCCAAATGCGTCACCAAACTTGGTTAGATCTAAACTTGCAGGAACATCAACATATATGACGCCACGTCCAACTTCTCTCGATGAAATTCTGATCAATGTAGTTTTCCCGGTTCCATGTTCAACACAAACCAAATGATAAAATGAGTGTAAGGCTGAAAAATTTTCTTAAGGCGTTTTGTAATTTCAGGCCGAAGAACAAGCTCGTCTTCTGAAACTTCCATATCAGGTCGAGTGCCTTAATTTTTGTTAGTTATTATGTAGACTTTAGTCATTAAATTTAGAGATGTGAGATTATTTAAAATGACAACATGAGTATACAGATTGAGACCAATAAAATATTAACTCCGGAGTATTTGGAGTGGAGGCTAATTACCAAGTATTTTAAATAAAATTCGTTCTAGGTTGTATAAAAGATATAAGAATAAAACTAGACTCAACCTTGGATGGATTCAAAACACTTTGAATTTACACAAATCGATAAGGATGATAATAATTACCAGAGGCAGTCTGCAGAGCAAGAGATTATATATCCACACAGTGGCTATATATTACGTGACAGTTCACCAGAAACTTAGGTAATGACGGCACAGCCTACAACTATAGTAATTATGTCAGCCAAACTTCGAGTCTCTGATTCTTTACAAGATTGTATCATCATAATTTCCAAGTTTCCAAAAGAAAAATATGTTATCATTAAAACTATACATAAGTATTTTTCTTTCCTATCATATATTAATTCAAATGCAATTTTTCAAATATAAATTATAATTTTTATATGTATAATAATTAAACTAAAAATGATTTTTTTTATATTAAAAACAAATTTATTTATTCAATATAATAAATGTATATACAGTATATTATATCTAAATCTAATCCCTAATATCTATTATAATGTCAAATAACATGTCTTGCACATCTTGTGATAGCAACATTGAATTATTACTGCATTCTATTTGATTTTGTTTCTTCTTGTTCCTGTTTTATTGTTTTTTGCAATTCTTCTGATTTAATACATTTTTTAATTTATTATTTAAAATTTTTTTGACCAAATTTAAAAAAAACCTATCATTACCATTATAGCTGACTCATATATCCAAAGTGGATTCAACTTTACTAAATACATTTCCAAATTAATCACAGATCTGTTTAACTTCCTTCCATCCAATGCTAAGTAAGTAATTATAGCTGCTCGGAGCTGCTTAATAAAATATATTGTTTAAAATTTCTTTTCAATATTAGTCTAATGGTTACTGTAGACAAGCTAGTATTTAACTTGCTGCACTAATACACATGAAAGATGTTATTTCTTTTACAATGTATATCTATTATTATACAAATAAATAAAGAAATAATGTTTACCTACAAAAAAAATAACCATTATTAAAATCTCTTTATTGTTTTAATTAAATTCAAATTATTTTATTTATACTTACTATACTATATCATTTACTATAAAATAAATTTGTGATCTAATTAGAACTCAAATTAAATATATATTTAAAAAAGTTTGTCTCAAAATATTTATATAAACATTCTTCAAAGTAATTTGATTTAGATAAATTAATTTTAAAATAATTATTTTATAATATTTAAATATATTTTCTAAATTATTAAAAAATATATAATTAAATAGATTTTGTTTTAAATTTTATTAATTAAAATACTTATATTCATTATCTAAAGATTAAACTTATTATGTTTATTTTTCTTATTTATTTCAACCTTGATCATTGCTAAGTCTTTTTATCAAAAAATTGGCACTGTATCTAAAACTAATTAAATTAAGCATATAGTTAAAATCTAAACTGCTTAAACATTTGATATAAATTATTTAAACTGCTAAAACAAATTTTAATTAATATAAATTGATCAATAATATAAATGTTTTTTATATATAAATCTTTTTATACAAGTCATGATTATATCTATAATTCATTTTTTTTTCTAATAAAACTATAATTCACTATATTTATTAATTTTTCATAAAAATAAAACAATAATACATTGAACCTTAAGGTTTTATACTAAAACTAAACTGTGTATAATACAGAATACCTGTTAACAAGTTATTTTAAAATTTGTATATAATTTTTGAATTCTTAATACTAAAATTACCATCTTCTCCACATGATTTAGTTATTTACTAACCATTTTATTACAAATGAGTTGGTTTATTAAACTATTATTGTATAATATTAACTATCTTAAACTTTTCAAATCTTAATTCTCTAAGTATAATCATAGGAAATGATAAAATCACTTTTTTTTAAGACTACTTTTTGGTCTTGAGAAAAATAATAATCTGTCTATATTCAAACTGTCATCCCAATATGAACCTGTGATCTTAAAAGATAAAAAAAAAATTTTTTTTTTAAGAAAATAAAGGAAAATCAAAAGAGTAATTGAAAAGTTTATTCTGATAAATAAAATTCTCCAGTATCAACTTTGGTCCATCAAAATAAATCCTTTACTATTACTTATAGCTAAATAAATCATTTAATTTTCACTATTCTAATGCTAGTCAAGAATATTCAAAGTACTTATAATAAGCCTTATAATCTTTAAAAGATTATTGTTTGGAATAAGCTTATACCTTACACCTTAGGAAATTATTGTTTGATACTTTCTCAGAATAATCAATAATAAAGAAAGCTTGTTATTGGATTGAAATAAGACTTCTTTTGATTTTGAAGAGAAATCAGTCCAAAAGAAGAAAGGAAGCATTATAATACTTTTTAACAAAAAGGACACCTCATTATCTTGCTCTTTTTACTATATCCAATAACATTATCAGTTTTATGTTGTATGAGATAAGAAATATAGGAGTTACATATCTTGTTTACATTTCTTGTTATGTATAAATTAACCAGTTCAAATTTCTAACTAATTATCATTTAAGAGTTCTGGTATAACCAAAAATTATGATCAAATTGAAATAGACAAAATTTCTCAAAAAAAACCAAAAAAAAAGTATACATGCTTAAGAAAATAGAAGAGGGATTTGAAAAAAATAAAAGAAGAGTTCCAAAAGTCAGTAATAATTTTTTCTAAAGTCTTGAATCTCTAAAGAAAAGAAGAAGTGTGTTTTTTTTATAGGTTCTTTTTCTTAACAAAGTAATTCTTGCCTTTGACTTTATAAATAAGTTTTTCTTATATTTACTTGCAAAAATACAAAAAAAAAAAAAAGAAACAAGTAGAGAAAAACTAGGGTTTTTGAGTAATGATGTTATTAGGAAAAGTATATAGAAATATAAAATTTTTCTAAAATATCTGTTTTTGGATTGGCAAGAGAATTAGAAAAAAGATTATATCTATAATTTATAAGTTTTCTTTTATAATAAAAGTAAATATTAGACTGCATTCCAAATTATAAATCAATTTAACTAAATTTATTTATTAAATATGATTATTGAATTTATCAATATTTTAGAATTATAATTTAAATTATTAACTTTATTTTATTTATTAATATTTTTATTTTCTTGTTTATAATATTCTTATTAAATTCTATACTATTTAAATTAATAGTATCATAAATAATTAATTGATTATCTTTAATTAAACAACTTTCTATATTTTCAAAATTAGTTAATAATAATTCTTCAATATTAATAAATTCTAATTTTGTATATATTGTATCTATTAAAACTAATATTATAGATCCTCTTCTATTAATTCTTTGTCATAATATCATAATACTTTTTGAATATTATATAAGCTATATAATTAAATTTTAAAATAGAAAAATTATATTCACAACTAGCTTATGATAATATAGTCATAAATATTTTCAATGTCAAATTTTAAAAATATTTATATTGATCTTTATATATGCTTCACAAATAGATTGAAGTATTTATATTTTTATTATAAACAAAATTAAATAGTTGTTTTCTATATTTATATTAATATAATTAAAAAATTAATTCAGATATACAGTATATGATCTGTATATCTTAAATTTGCTTAATATTTGATTGCAATTATGCAAATTTTATGAAATTGTTTATTTTTCAAACTATTTTTTCAATATTTCAGATAAATATAATAAGTTAAAAAATAAAACTCATAATCAAATTATTGATATTAATAATTAAAACATATAATTACAAATTATTTAAAGAAAATATTTTTAAAAATTACTTAATTTATGCTACAAGTTTAATTAGTTCAATAAAACAATTAGCAAGATTGACAGTTTTTGACTTCAAGAAGTTAATTGTTTTTTTAATAGATTTAAACCTATTGCAACCTTTTGTAGCATTATAAAAAATTCTTTATTGAAAAGCAATTATAATATTATTTCATTTGTAATAACTTTCTAAAATCTAAACAATTAAATAATTAGAAGTTTATAAAATAAATAAATAAGCAATAATTGATTTTATCTTATTAAAAACCAGTTAATATTAAACAATAGAATTTGCTATATTGTAAATTGAATACTAATAAGTTTCAATATAAGTTTTCAAGCTATCCCCTATAATTATTATATTTTTAAGTCCATCTTATAATAAGTAATCAATTAAATATAATTGTTTAAGGAATTTAAAAATCTTTTTACATTTATATAAAAGTGTTCTTATATTTTTATAAGCAATTAAATCTAATACTATTAAATTAATCACATATACTATATAATAAATATCCAATATATGCAAATAATTTTAATTTGTTATTTGTTATATAACTTTAATATTACTACTATTATTGATAACTATAGTAGTAAATTTAACTCTAATTTTTTCTATTATATTTGATATTTCATTTGCAAGAAATAATTCAATTTAAGATACATTGTTAAAGTTTTTAATTTTATATAAGATTCTTTTTAATCAACTATAAAAATCATAAAATTATAAAGAAAGTCATTTATAAAAGTATTTATTTATTAAGTACTATTATAATATAATTATTATTATTATTATACTGTATTTATAATATTTAAAAATAAATTATAATATTATAATATTAAACTTACCTAAAGTTAAATTTTTGCTATATTGTAATTTTTTTTTTTTTTTTTGTAGGTAAACATTATTTCTTTATTTGATTTGTATATGTCAAGATATACATCGTGAAAGAAACAACATCTCTCATATGCTAGTACAATGAGTTAAATGCTAACTTGCCTACAGTAACCATTTGACTAATATTGAAAAGAAAATTTAAAACAATATATCTTGTCAAAAGGTACTGAGCAGCTATAAATACCTAC